CCGACCCGCACACCGTGGACTGCCGCGACCGCGGGCTGCCCAGCGTGCCCGACCCCTTCCCGCTGGACGTGCGCAAGCTGCTGGTGGCCGGCAACCGCATCCAGCAGATCCCTGAAGACTTCTTCATCTTCTATGGAGACCTGGTGTACCTGGACTTCAGGAACAACTCCCTGCGTTCGCTGGAGGAGGGCACGTTCAGCGGTTCGGCTAAGCTCGCCTTCCTAGATCTCAGCTATAACAACCTCACGCAGCTGAGCGCGGGCGCCTTTCGCTCCGCGGGAAGGCTGGTCAAGCTGAGCTTGGCCAACAACAAGCTGGCGGGCGTGCACGAGGCCGCCTTCGAGACTCTGGAGTCGCTGCAGGTGCTGGAGCTCAACGACAACAAGCTGCGCAGCCTAAACGTGGCTGTCCTGGACGCGCTACCCTCCCTGCGCACTCTGCGCCTGGACGGGAATCCCTGGCTGTGCGACTGTGACTTTGCCCACCTCTTCTCCTGGATCCAGGAGAACACGTCCAAACTGCCCAAAGGTGAGTGGGGGAGCTGGCCTGGGCTGGGGCGCGGGAGGGAGGAGAGAAAAACTCCCCCAAATTGAGGTTGAGCCCTGAGGAGGAGGCTTGGGGTCGCACCAGCAGGGTCCTAGTGAGCCTCGTCCTTGGAACCCCGGAAAGTTTCTAGTCTGAACTCCTCTGGGATCTGCTGGGAGAGGGTGTGGAGGGACACAGCGCAAAGCTCTGGAGTTCTATGGCGTTGAAGCCGTGCTTCCTTCCTTGTTCCTTTATCAACTCACCTCCCCAGGTCAGGAACCTAACGCTGCTCCTTATTTCCTGGTCAAGATCACCTCGGGCTGGGTGGTGTGGGTCGTCCAATAACCGTGGGTTCTTCCTAAGTAGTAGTCACCTTGCAGTGTGTGGAGCACAGCGCCATTCCCCTACTTGGGTACTAGAAGGATGGAGGGGAGCTGGCCAATTGCATGGCACTGGTCTCTCTGTTGCTTGCCAGCTCAGGCTTACTCTTCCGATAAAAGGAGTGAGGATATTCCTAGTGAGGGGACCGCCTGCAAACCAGGCATGCAGTCACGATTTATGGCTCTGTGATTTTTCAGCCCAGATGTGAAAACGCCAAACAGAAATGTTGCAGGCTGGTGCCTTCCCTGCTTGCCTGAGTCCCCTTCCAGTGCCTGCCAGAACACACCTATCCATCTGCAGATGGAGCCCGAGGGCAGAGGGAGTTAAGTGGCCCAGGGAAGGCCAGCAGGAGGGAAGCCAAGGTGTAGCTGAGAACCAACCACCAGGGCAGGGTCGGGGCAGGTGGAAGTCCTTGGCCTGTGTGGACTTCAGTCTGTGGGCATCGGTGCCCACCATGATCTCTCAGGGCCAGACCCCGCCTCCCGCCTTCCCAGAAAGGTTGGGCAGATTTGGAATCAGACTTTAGAAAAGGTGACAGGTGCAGATTGTGCTTCAGAATCTCATTCCATTTACTGAGAACTCACAGAAGCTGCTACCATGCAGAATTCCTGGGCTCACTTTTTCATTGCCACTGTCACAGGCTTGCAGAAGGGCACCGGGGTGGCCGCTTCTCAGAAGATGCAGACCTCTGTGCTGGTGCGTTGGCTGCCTGTGCACCATTCCTAAGAAGATCCTGCTTGTGAGATGCAGAGTTCCCCCACTCTCCACTTAGTCCTCACTCTCCTGCTTGGCTTCCCAGATTACTAGAAGATTGCTGGTCTCAGAACCGGTGGGTGAAAACCTCACTGGGGATGGGCTCTCCTTGGTTCTGGTGGCTCCTGCCTGCCACTGCATTCTGTGGAGCTGGCATTAATTCCATGGCTGGCAGGGTGGTAACCAGCCCTGTTGGACCCTCATTGTTTTGAGATGAGGTGAAGTGTCCTGGAGCAGAACCAGGAGTGTGTCCTCTGCCCCATAAATGCCTGGGTGGCTGGGACCTTGGACAGGCCACTTGTTATCCTTCTCATGCCTCCATTTCCCCACCTCTAGAGTACTTGAGTGGATTTCTGAGATCTACAGGCTGTTTTATAGGGAAGGAGATGGACACCGGGTGGATGTATGAGGCTGGAGAAAGGACAAACAGGCTCAGGGCGGTCAACAGTGTCCATACCACTAGGGAAAGGGGAGAGCAAGGGAAGGGCCGGTGTCTCCTAGTCAGGAGAAGACAGAGGCAGCTCGAGGGCATCTCCCAGGCACAGTGCCCAGGGTAGCTCTGGTCTCACTTCAGCTGCCTGTGCTGTGCGGCCAGAGCAGTGTCTCCAAACTAAACCAGAGGCCAGGTGGGTGATGGAGGAAATGCACAGGCCTTAAAATGAAAGACCTGCATGTATATCTGGATTCAGATTTATGATCCTAGGCCATCTTTGACCTCTCTGAGCCTCAGTTTCTCTGCCCTTTAAGTCAGAATGTAGTGCTAGTGATGAGTGTCAATGAGACTCACCCTGGGAAGGGCACAGTGCCACTGAGCAAAGTATAGCCCTCTCAGCAGATTTATGTCCCCTGTCCTCCTGCACGTATGCTGCTTCTGATACTTAACATTTAAAACATTTTTAACTAATGCACAGCAATTGTGCATAATTAGGGGCACAGTGTGCTCATTTGATACATGTATACCATGTATAGTGCTGCCAGCATTTCTGTCTTCCTAAACATTTATCATTTCTTTAAACTGGAAACCTACCAACTCATCTTTTCTAATGCTTTTCAAAATATGAAATAAACTATTATAGACAATGGTCACCGTGATGTGCTATAGACACCAAACCTTATCCCTCCCAGCTAACTGTATCTTGCTACCTGTTACTGAGCCTCCCTCTTTCCCACCTCCCCTGCCTGGCCTATATCCTTCCCAGGGGCCAAGGCCAAGTGCTGAGAGCCTCCTGAGGTTTCTAGCTGCATAGCTGTCTCTACTTCCTAACATGAGTTCTTTTCGGACCCCAGTTTCCTCACCTGTAAAATGGGGGCAATATGGTATCCACTTTGTGAGATTGCTTGGAGGATTGGAAGGGGATTTTTTATAAAGAGCTTCATGGCACTTGTACACTGTAGACACTGCAAATGTTGGTGCTGTTGTCCCATTGTAACCAGAAGACCCAGCCATGTCAGATGCGACTTCCCCAAGTTGCACAATCTAGGAGGAGGTAGGGGATACACTGGGACCTCCTGCTTCCCAGCCCCCTCCATGCTGACCACGCTTTCTGACAAAGACAGTTGGCCCTTTTGGGGTGCAAACTCAGGGCTGTCTAGGCCAGTGCTTGACCTCTTCAAGGGAAGGAGCAGCAGATCCCTTCATCTCATCCTGCCCCCCCCAAGGATGGAGCCAGAGCCTTCTTCCTTGACCTTGACTAGCTGTGACAATTGTAAAATGTGTCATCTGCCCGGTGTACCTCACCTGTGGTCACAGTGAGATGGGGAGCATTCAGGCTGCAAGGACTTCTGGTCTCCTCCAGGCTCCTTCCAGGACCAGGAGTCTGGGGTCTGAGATCTGAGAAGGACCTAACCTGCTGGAGGGGACAGGGCCAGAGTATGTTGGCATGCCCACCTGCCAGGTGGCAAAACCCCAAATAGAACAATAAGTAGAGAAACAAATAAAAAATCTCGGGATTTTGAATTTCAGAGGAGGCACAGATAATGTTTTAATATAAGTATGTCCCGTGTGATGTTTGGGTTGTACTTCTGCATTAAGTGGCAGAATTTACCTGGCAGACCTCCCTGGTGCCTCGTGAGCATGAGGCACTTTGTAGTTGGTAGGTGCTGTCTCTTTTAATGCAGCAGGCGTGCCCGCCAGGTACCTTTGCCCACAGTTTGCCAGACAGAAATAAGTGACCTGCACAGAGGAAAGAACACAGAAGTTTGCCCAAGGTCAGTATCTGAACTCTGGAGTGTTTGGCCCCACAGCTGCTCTCTGCAAGAGGTGTGGAAAGGGAGAGTGAGGTCCCCCCAACACAGCCTTCTCCCTATGGTCCCCCCAGGTGGTAGGGGCCTCTCCCTCCTTCCATTGTGATTCTGCACCTGTTCTGGTGGCTTCCCTTGAGATAATGGGCCACAGATAGTTAGAGACGGTGGTCACCAAGGGGAGAATGATGATCTTACTTTAAGTAGAAAGGGTTCCCGACTGGGAAGCCACTTGGGCGACTGGTCAGGAGAGAGGGAGAGGATGGGGAGATTCTGGAGGAGTCTAGGAAGGAAGGAGCAGCAGTGGTGATGACACTTTTGTCACAGGTGCTGTGGTCTTTAAAGCCCTCCTGGGGATCACATCGTCTTCACTTTACAGCAGCCCAGGAAGTGAGCAGGAATTAGACACAAAAATGAGCTGGACGTGCTTCTCACTTGAGAGCCATTTGGGTAAGAGACTCCTGTGCTGCTGTGTGGGAAGGGCTTTGTGATGTGTTTGTGGCTCCCTAGCTCACTAGTTGTGTGACCTTCTGTAGGTAGCCTCCTATCTCTGGGATTCAGGTTTTTTTTTTCAAGCAAAAGATAGAAGTAGAAAGATTCATGTAATGTTCTGGGTTCCAAGACTCATATTCTGTGGTTTTAAGAAAAAGGAATATTACCCTGATTTTAAAAATTGGGAGGTTGAGGCATGGGGGAGGCAGGGACCATTCAAAGACTCCTCTGCTGGAATTCAGGGCCCTGTAATCTCTGTGCAGTGGAGGGAGGGCCAGAGCACCTGGACAGTCTGGACCCTGACCTCAGAGGCTGAGATGCTGTCATACCATGGAGGGCTTTCCACTTCCTGTCCCCAACATTGGTCCTGGAGTCACTGGGCAAAAAGACCACTGGGCTTGGGAAGCTCAGCCTGGTGGACATGGACCTGTCTCTGTGCTTGATTCTGGAAGTTGTGAAGCAGGTGACACAGCCCACACCAGCCCTCAGAATGTGTCACAGGCAGGGCTCAAGGGAAGTCTGAATTGGCAGGGCGCCCTCACGGACCTTGCTTTCTAGCCAGGGCTGTGTGTGTTCCATGGGTGGTCACAGTGCACAATGACAAGGTGGAAGTCTTGTGCCCTGTCATGGAGGTGGGGGGAAGGACTGGGCAGAAGTAGACAGGGACAGAATGACACAGGGCCACACGATATGCCTGGTTTCCCATGAGGACAGCCTCCTCGAGAAGATCCTGACATCTGCCTGGAGTGGCATTCAGAGGCCTCACTGGTCACCCTTTGGGGTCAGGGTCCTTGTGGAAGGGGGCACATGAAAGCCAGAGTGCTCATGGATTGGAATGTCGCAGTTCCCTCCTGCTTATCTGGCCTGATCGGGGTTCGTGAGGGACCTCAGCCTGTCTTCTGGCACCACTGGCCTGGCAGCTCAGTGGGGGTGTCTTGTCGCATTGACGAAAGGGCAGTTCTTCGGCTCAGCAGACGAAAGTGACACTTGCCGAGAGGCCACAGGGGTACTTTCTCCCAGGAGACTCCAAGGTAATGATTTCTTTCTATAAAGAAGAAAGGCAACTTAAATTTTTCTGATTATAAAAATAATAGGTGCCTATAATTAGACTGGGGAAACATAAGTAAGTATCCTGA